CCCCCTGAGGTTCTATTTGACAAAGGCTGTTTTCCGATCGTTTTCCGATAGCATTCCGATGCGTACCGACGGAGATATCCGAAACCCGAAAATTTTTGCGGGAATCGGTAATAAATCGGCAGAAATGACGAGATTACTCATTTTCGTTTGACTTTTCCTTAATAATTAACTGAAAAACAACCAAGTGAGTTGTTTCTAGAAGTTTCTAGAATAATGTAATACACATATTTTGACATTATTTAGAAAGAAATGTGTAGCTTTGAAAAAAATTGAGTAGTTTACGGAAATCACGTAAACTACCCTGGATCCACCCTTGCAGACCAATTATATTGCCTTATTATTGTTTTCAAGACGTTTTAAATATGGGTAATAATAAATGGTGTAATTACAGTATTAACCAAAAAGTTGTACAGCATAAACTACAAACATTGACACAGACCTCGTGGTCTAGGAGTCGGCTGTGGGTCTAATTGTTAGGCTAGAAGTCTTGTAATTATTGTAGGGTATTAATGGATCAATTGATAGATTGTTAAATGTTTTTTTTTGTAAAGCAAGAAATGATAAATAAAAAGGTCACATCAAATCTTATGAGCTCAAAACAGCCAATGTTTATCAGCACATACTGTAGTTGTCCTAGTATAACTGTGAACTATTCTACTCTAGTAACATGCAAGTAGCCCTCGGGCTCAATGCTTGTAATCACGTACAAAAATATATATATATTGCTAATGGGTCAACTCGATCGCACGCTATCCATGTGATCACGCTATAGCTTGATCTTAGATTCGCCAAGAATCGTTTGCATTACGATATTCGCTATCGCTAGCCTCTGGCAACCACACGCTAAACGCTATTTGGTTTTTGTTTTACATATATTCTAAAAACCCTCATTTACTGTACTATTAGCAAAAGTTGTAAACTTTAAACTACATGAGCGAAATAAAAATCTATCTAAGTACACACAGTGATGATGATGATGATGGATAAGAGGCGTGAACTGATGGAGTACTATGTCTGCCCTTTAAACACCTACTCTAGTAACAACCAAGTACATACAGTGATGATGATGATGATGGATTGGAGGGGTGAACTGATGGTGTACTATATATACCCTTTAAACACCTACTCTAGTAACAACCAAGTACATACAGTGATGATGATGATGGATTAGAGGGGTGAACCGATGGTGTACTATCGGCATACCCTTTAACAGCACCTACTCTAGTAACAACCAAGAAGAGTGATGATGATGGATTATAGAAGGGTGAACTGATGGTGTACTATATGTACCCTTTAACAGCACCTACTCTAGTAACAACCAAGTACAGTGATGATGATGGATTAGAAGGGTGAACTGATGGAGTACTATATGTAGCCTATAACAGCACCTACTATAGTAACAACCAAGTACAGTGATGATGATGGATTAGAAGGGTGAACTGATGGAGTACTATATGTA